TTTTCCAGTAGTCATGCATGGATGTGAGAGTTGGACTATAAAGAAAGCTGAGTGCCAAAGAATTGATGCTTTTGAACTGTGGTGTTGGGGAAGACTCTTGAGAGTCCCTTGGACTGCAAGGAGATCCAAGCAGTCCATCCTAAAGAAGATCAGTCCTGGGTGTTTATTGGAAGGACTGATGCTAAAGCTGAAACTCCAATACTTTGGCCACCAGAGGTGAAGAACTGACTCATCTGAAAAGACCCTGATACTGGGAAAGATTGAGGGCAGGAGGAGAAGGGGACGACAGAGGATGAGATGGTTGGATGGCATCACTGACTCAATGCACACGAGTTTTGGTAAACTCCGGGAGTTGGTGATGACCAGGGAGGCCTGGTGTGCTGCAGTTCATGGGGTCGCAAAGAGTCGGACACGACTGAGAGACTGAACTGAACTGAACTGATACAGTCATTGGGCTTCCCCGGTGGCTCAGGCCGGTGAAGTATCCGCCTACAACGCGGGAGACCTGGGTTTGATCCCTGGGTTGAGCAGATCCCCTGGAGGAGGACATGGCAACCCATTCCTGTATTCTTGCCTGGAAAACCCCCATGAAAGATAAGCCTGGTGAGCTACAGTCCCCTGGGTCCCAAACAGTAGGTAGGACCAACCGGGCGACTAAGGACAGCACAGTACAGCATAGTCATTAGGGCTTCCCAGGTGGCGCTAGTGGCAAAGAACACACCTGCCCGTGCAAAAGACGTAAGAAACGTGGGTTCGATCCCTGAGGTGGGAAAATCCCCTGGAGGAGGAAATGGCAACCCACTCAAGTATCTTTGCCTGGAGAATTCCATGGACAGAGGAGCCTAGAGGGCTTTCCATAGGGTCGCAAAGAGTCAGACACGACTGAACCGACTTAGCACACACGCACATACTTTGTGTCCAGGAAAGTAGTAGGTTAAAAAGATTAAGATGTTATACGGACCTAGGCTTAAAACTCTGCCCAGCTCCGTAATAAAATAGAAATAATAGTAGACTCCAACTAACGCCGGGGCGTTTTGGTCACACATGTGAAGTCCTTGACATATTTCCTGACACATTTCACGTGTTCATAGATGTTAGTTTTCCAGATTATGTACCATTAGGTACAACTATTTACTGGCATTAGTGAAACAAGATGGCATTGGGGGCTGAGTTATCGACTGCATTTCTCAGGAAGTGAGAACTCTGGTTCTGTGCGTCTGAAGGAAGGTGCAGGTGGCTAGTATTTTCCCCAACTGTTGAAAATCTGTTCAAAATCAAGGCGACTGTTTAGCTTCAGACTGAACAGGAAATCTTCCTTATGCCTAATTTCGGTGCCGATGACTGGACGTTTCCCACACAGAAAACCGCCTCAAACTAGTTTCTACTTTTAGCTCAACCCGGGCAAATTTCCTTAAATATGTCTGTGAGCGTCGCCCCGCCCACATGTCCCCACCCAGTTGGTCCGAATGCTCCCGGGGTTAATTCAATCGGTGGAATTTTTTCGAGCTGATTGGCGGAGCAAATCGGAAATCTTTTTATTTTTTTGATTGGTCGCGCGCAGCCTTGGGGCGGGGCACATGGGCGTGCCTCGCCAGGACGCGGGGAGCTGTCATTGGAAGATGAAACCGGCATTTTCAGAGCTTCGTGCCGTCGCCTAGGTCGCAAGGGGCAGGCCTCCTCCCTCCAGGCTATTATTGTCCTTTACATTGGCCAGATTTGTTGTCACTCTTGGAACCTGGAACTCATTGGTACAAAAGCTCCAAGAAGCGGTGGGTGATTGGTTGGCTACTGTTCCCGCCCCGATCCTGTCGCCATTTTACATAGGGGATCAGAAGCCCTAAAGGGAGTGGTATCGGTACCGGTGGTCGGTTGGGCGATTGGTGAGTCGTGGGCTGGGGAGAAAGGACTGCGGCACTCAAGGGCTGGCTGGGTTCTCGCAGCTTCAGAGGTAGGGAGGCTGGATAGCAGCGGGTGGCCTGCAGAAACGGGTTGGTCTCCCTGTCTCTTCTCCGCCCTCTGTAGGGCAGGGGCTGCGGGATTCGAGGTTTGGCTAGCCCGCTGCGGGGTTGCGAGGCGGGGGGGACTCCGCTTTCTCGAGGGCCCGCAGGTCGAGAGGAAGCGGCCTGGCAGCTGGGCAGAAAGGACACTCAGACGCATTCCCCGGGGGGACCCAGCGCGCGTGCCCGCCGGCTGCGCACGCCCACTTGGCCACCCGCTTTGGTTCGTGTTCTGGAGATCTCCCCGCAGTTCTCCCTGATGGACAGTTGATGCCTGTGTCAGAGGCAGGCGAGCGTGCCAGAGAGGCGCCGGGGTCGGCGGTCTCTTCCAGTGAGTCTCTAGCCCCGCAGCGGGCTTTGGGCGTCTGAAGCTAGGATGTGTGCTGTCCTGTTGGGAGGAGGAATCGGATGTTTGCTTCATAGGACATCTTAAATGCACCTCCCCTTCCGTAAAATGTCCCTCACGGTTTTTCTCATCCGTGAGATTTGTCTTTTTCTCTAAAACAAAGACAGGGAATCTTTAATTTTGTCGCCCACAGGATTTTGAGTGCTGCAATGCATTGGACTGCTGTATGCTTTCTGTATGGCCTCCTATGAATAATTAAAGTATTTATCATCATTCTTTGGTTGTAGCAGTTTACCTGTATCTAATTTTTGTTCAGGTTAAATGCTCTGCTCCTTTTCTCATGTCTTAGGATTAAATGTGTGCTTGGACATCATCCATGAAGTTTAGCAACTGTAGGACGCGGCTAAATTTCAGAGGTGGGGCCTCTGGAATTTAGTGACCTCACCTCTGAGGTCCCTAGGGTCCTGATGAATGGGAGATGGACTGTCCTTGTTCCCTCTCACCTCTGCTCTGCCAAGGAGTAAAATTTTCCTATAATTAGCAGTTTAAAGGGAAATAAGGGTTTTTTATTCTTCTTTGAAGAATCTTCAGGAACAATGTTAGAGTTGTCAGTACTACTTTTTATTGGCGGATAATTGCTTTACAGTATTGGACAGTACTACTTTTAAGTCTGTAATTAGACTGTCAAGCCCACGCTTCAAATAGGCTGATCTGTTGAAATTAAAGATGTAAATTTCTGTAAAGCTAATCTGAACAACAAATTTGTTTTGACCGTTGCCTTCCTTTATGGAGTCTTTCATGTATTCTACTGAAAAATAAAGTATTGAACATTTGTGCAGTTATATATCAATATGTTGTTGTTCAGTAGCTAAGTCATGTCTTGATTTCTTTTTGAACCCATTGACTGCAGCACACTAGGCTTCCCCGTCCTTCAGTATCTCCCAGGGTTTGCTCAAACTCATGTCCATTGAGGTGGTGATGCCATCCAACCATCTCATGCTCTGTTGCCTCCTTCTCCTGCCCTCAATCTTTCCTAGCATCAGGGTCTTTTCCAGCGAGTCAGCTCTTCGAATCAGGTGGCCAAAGTATTGGAGCTTCGACTTCAGCCTCAGTCCTTCCTTTGAATAATCAGGGTTGATTATTGTGATTATCTTTGGAGGAGTGATAATTGGTAAGGTGCACAAGGAGATCTGGGTCGATGATAATCATCTTTTTTTGATTTGGTTCATGACATTTCACTGAACTGTATGTTATCATGTATGTTTGTATCTATGTAAATTATGTTTCAAAAGCTAATAATTAACAATAAGGTGATCCTGTTGGTGGGAATATAAATTGCTACAGCCACTATGAAGAACAGTATGGAGGTTCCTTAAAAAACTAAAAACAAAGCTACCATATGATCTAGCAGTCCTACTGCTGGGCATATACCATGAGAAAACCATAATTGAAAAAGACACATGTTCCCCCGATGTTCACTGCAGCCCTATTTAAAATAGCTAGGATGGAAGCAACCTAAATGTCCATTGACAGATGAATAGATAACAAAGCTATGGTATATGTATACAATGGAATATTACTCAGCCATAAAAATGAACAAAATTGGGTCATTTGTAGTGATATGGATGGACCTAGAGTGTTATATGTAGTAATGTAAGTCAGAAAGAGCAAAAAAACAAATATTGTAAATTAATACATATGTGTAGAATCTAGAAAAATGGTGCAGATGAATCTATTTGCAGGGCAGGAATAGAGACACAGACTTAGAGAACGGTGCAGGCGGGGAAGGGGGGGTGGGGCCTATTGGGAGGTTGGAATGACATGTACACCACCATGTGTAAAATAGACGGCTAGTGGGAAGTTGCTGTAAGCCCAGGGAGCTCAGCTTGGTGCTGTGTGATGAGGTAGAGGGATGGGATGGGGGATGGAGGGAGGCTTTAGAGGAGGGAATACGTGTGTACATGCATACTGCTGTTGTGCAGCAGGAACTAATGCAACATTGTAAAGCAACTATACTCCAATAAAAAAAGAAAATGTAATTAAAAACAAACATGAGGTGATGGTCAACACTGGGTGCTATGGTCTCTCCCCCAATCTTTACCTGGTTAATTTGTTAGCCATGCAGTTGCCCAGTGCTGTTATTTCCTCACCTCTGAAATTTTTTAGGTTCTCTTTTGGGTCTTGATACTGTCTATTGGCCATAGGCAACTATTAAATTTCTAAGAGGTGTTGATATCGAACCTGCCTTAAGGAGTTTGCTTCACAGTATGTAGAATAGACTGGTTCTCAGCTGCAGAAGTTCTCATTTCAGAAGCATCAGTTGTATCTGGGGTGGCATTGCTTCCATACTTAGGGTGCCGAAAGCCTGCCACCATTGAGAGTGGGCTTCCCATACCCTACTTGGATGCTGCAGTGGAAAAGAGAATTTTTTGGCAAGGTATCAAAAGGCTTAGTTGAGTTTCCCCTATGAAAACAAGATACTCAGCTCCTTCCTAGCCAAACTATACTTGAAATTGTTCAAGTTTTGCCAGGAGCTGCCTCCAGTGGAGGCTTGTATTTCATGTGTATGTCTTGTATTTATGTGTCCATATCTCTGCAAAGAACCATTACTTGACTTGCTTTTCTTCTTTTCCTTCAGGTCACAGAATTCAGTAACAATGGGGAACGTTTTTGAAAAATTGTTTAAAAGTCTCTTTGGGAAAAAGGAGATGCGGATTCTTATGGTGGGTTTGGATGCCGCTGGAAAAACCACCATCTTGTACAAACTGAAGCTGGGAGAGATCGTGACTACCATCCCTACAATAGGTATGTTAACGGCCTGTGACAGGACCAGTGTACACTGCAGTATGTTGTGCTTTTACAAGCTTCTCATGTTACTGAATTTTTACTTTGGAGAATCTTGTCCGCCTCATAAACGTCTTGAGGCCAGAACCAGGTAATATAGTTATGTAATTGCTTCCTGGTATCTCTGGCACATTGCTAGGTTTATAGGAGAGTCATAAAAACACATTTAGGTGGAACAAATTTAACCCTATCAACTTGACCAAAAAAGAAGGAAAAGATAATGATGATTAAAATCAATCTTTCTTCCAGGGGCCTTTCCAAGTGGAAGCATCTCTTCATGCCAAGTATGTTCCTGGTGTTTAAAGATGTAGTGTGGAAAAAAGAGAAGGACATAGCATGGTTTTTTTTTCCTTCACTTTGGCTCACACCAACTACTTGAGGTGGTGGTCCACTGATGAATCTGATTTGTTCCATTGCTGGAGGACAATCTGACGGTGTAGTTATTCTTGCAGACCAGCTCTGTGTTTTGTCGGCCATTTACAGCTTTTGCAAAGGCAGTTTTGGCAGAACTTAGTCTATGCCTCCTGAGCTGTCACTAAATCCAAACTCCTGAGTGAGAATGGGCTCCCCAGGGGGGGCATGTGAATGTCAGTGGCGTTCTGAAAGTTGGATTAGGCACCGGGAACCAACTGAGCAACTTCCAGCGTAGGCAGTCTCTTCAGAGATTGCAACATTAAAATGAGGAGGAAACCAGAAAGAGAAAATGCTCATACCCATAGCTTTAAAAAATGTTATTAGTCCAAAAAGAAAATAGGATAATTACTTGTTTTTCTCTTTTCATAAAGATGATTCATCCTTCCATAATGTCATATATACATAAAAAATATAAACAATGTTGAAAGAAAAAACAACCTGTGATTTTGGTGAATATCTTTTTTTAAATGTATTTTTGGATGCACTGGGTTTTCATTGATGAGCACATTCTAGTTGCAACAAGCAGGGGCTACTCTCTGGTTGTGATGCTCGAACTTACTGCAGCGGCTTCTCTTGCTGCAGAGCACGGGCTTCGTAATTGTGGCACATGGGCTTAGTTGCTCCAAGGCATGTGGGATCGTCCCAGACCAAGGAGCAAACCCATGACCCTTGCATTGGCTGGTGGATTCTTAACCTCTAGAACACTGAAAGGTTGCTACTGCAAGCCATGTGTCATGCCAGGATTCGTGACCTCCAGAGGAGGGGATTTCAATCTGGGATCAGAGACAAGGCTTGACTACTTGGAGCCTTTTGTGTAGCAAAGTTTTATTAAGGTATAACAGAGATAGGGAAAGCTTCTGACATAGACATCAGAAGGGGACAGAAAGAGTGCCCCCTTAGTTTTGAGCAAGGCGTTTTATGTCTGTTGGCGAGCTTCTAATCAGATAAGAGACACCTCAAAGCTGAGGGAATTTCACCAGGCCCCTGTCCCATAATACTCATTTTTGAGATAGAATGGCAAAAGATATGTCATCCCCAATCATAAAACAATTGACACAAATACTGGTTTGTTGAGCCATTATCAGCCCAAGGTTTGAGAAAAGAAAAAAAAGGTTAATCTTAGGCAAAACCAGTTTCATCAACAGAGAAGGAAAAAAATGTCTGCCACATGGAGTTTATTTCCTCCTGCCGCATGGGGACCTCTGGCCTCTCTACCTGTTACCCTCTCACCACCAGGGAAGTCCTGGTGAATATCTCTGTGAAGTCATATGCGTGCTGTTTTCCAACTCACTCTGCGTTACACAGCATCACTGGTTCTCGTCTATGTCATCTCTCTGTGGAATGCTTTCCTACCTTCTTCCTTAGCACCCACAATGCCCCCACCCCCACCCCACTGCTTATATAGCTAAATGCCAGCTTTTTCTTTGAATCTCAGTTTAAGCATCATTTCTCAGGGCTTCCTTTTCTGATCCCTTGGATGGTTTTTCCCCTGTTGTAAGTTTCTATAGCAACCTGAACTTCTGAGCAACTCTCAGCACATTTGTCATTGCTCACTCACTGCCTCTCTTCCAAAAGTGTAAATAAGAGCAGGAATCGTGTCTGCCTTGCTCACCACTGTTCTCAAGTGCCTAGCAAAATGCCTGGCACGTAGTGGATGTCCAGTAAATATTGGGTGAATGGATTGAATACCCGTCTTGCGGTAGATCATTGAACTAATGGCCCCCAATGAATCATGCTCCTCAGTAGCCCCACCCCTGCACATTCCCCTTCCACAGTGATACTGGGCATGGCCATCTGACATGCTTTGGCCAAGGGCATATCAGCAGATATGATTCACACAGAGATTGGATAAGTGCTTGTGCCTTGGGCTTCGCCCTTTTGGAGCACTACCACCACCACATGAGGGAGCTCAGTGCTCCTTGAAAATAAAAAGATCACCTGGAGAAGAGAAGGCCAGCCTACCCCCAAAGGACTCAACAGCTGAACGCCTCTGCAAGAGGAAACCCAGGCAACCTACTGAATTGGGGAGGGGGGAGAATCATTGTTCTAAGCCATGTTCTAAATAATGTTCTAAATAAATCATTGTTCTAAATAATAACCAATACAGATCAACATCAGTTTTAGTAACTAGATAGTATGTGGCTCTATGTTTAACAAATTTCCACTGATGGATGATTAGGTTATGTGCAACAGTTTGTAAACGATGCTGATCATTCGAAGACCAGTCAAACGTGGCTGAGTTTACTAAGGAGATTGAGAAGGTACAGCCAGAGAAACGTAAGGAAAATGGGAAGCCAGGAAACAGTTTCAAGGAGGGAATGACAGTAGTGTCAGATATAAAATCAAATTATGTAAGAACTGGAGAGCTGTTGATGGATTTCTCAACCTTGCCGACCTCAGTTGAAACCACGAAGCATGGTGAAGCCGAACTAAAGTGTATTGGGTGAGAGGTGACAAAGTTTGACTTTAAAAGGGAGAACAGGGTATTTGCAGGTGAAGATGTGGAATCAAGGAAGGGTTTCTTTGGAGGATCTAAAAGACCTAAGCCTGCTGAGGAGAACAGGTTGGAGATTTCGAATGGGGCAGAGAAGAGCAATAGGAGAAGGTTCCAGACAGCATGGGTGGACCAGATCCAGTGCATGGGTGGATGGAATCAGCATTAGCTGCTTCCTTGTTCCAAGGGGGAGGGAGAGAAGCGTGGATGAAGAGGTAGGTGGGTTTCTGTGGTGTATGGTGGGAGGCAGAAAGCAGCCCTATCGATGGCTTCTGTTTTCTCTGAAGTCTGCTGGGAGAGGGAGAGGTGGTGTCAGGTGGGAGACACCTCTCATGATGCGCAGAGAGCAAACTGACTTAACACGGTCTGTTGTGTAAGCTATAAATCTTTGACTGGCAAGCTGCTTCATAAACGAAAAATACTGTCCAAATGTTAGCTGAAGTTATTTTGAATTGTTGAGCCAGCAGAAGTCTGCATTAAACACTTTCCCCATCTTCCCTGTGTAGGTTTCAACGTGGAGACAGTAGAATATAAAAACATCAGCTTCACAGTCTGGGATGTCGGCGGCCAGGACAAAATCAGACCTCTGTGGCGACATTATTTCCAGAACACGCAAGGTAGAGATGATCCAGTTTCTCACCTTGCGACCATTTCTGTTAAACGAATCTAAAGATGGGTACTTGAAGCAGAAGCTTGTGGCACTCTGCTCTATGTGGACTGTCAGTCATTCCTTCTCTTGGAATGACCCACTTAAATTTACTGGGGAGGTCTTTTTTTGAGAAGTGGTCCCTGCCTTCTTTGAAAAAATACTTGGGCTTTAATGCTTTACACAGGCATCTCCTTTTAGTCCGGAACAGTTATAAAATGGTTGTCCTGATGAGTTCCATCTTTTGGTTAATTAAAGTGCCTTAGATGAAGTACCAATTTTTAAAGAATTTGAATTCTGAAAACTCCTTTAAGCCGGTTGAGAATATCTGAAAAATCATTCCTAAGGAGAGAAAGAGATAGACAGCGATGGTTGGAACCCCCAAACCCTGCATCCTGTGTGGCCATAGTCCCTCCCAGCTTCCCTATTATCCTACCAGTACATGAAACAGGCACGAATATCCTAGATCATTGCCTTGTTTCCTTATTACTGGATTTTTAAACCCTGGAGTTTTAATGCCCCACTCCCACGTCGGTCTCCCTGAGTTTTTCCATTGATTATATTTTGTATAACCTTATAGATATTGCCTATCCAGGACCCATAAGCTGTTCAGATAGTTTTTACACCCTGATTCTCAAACCATCTGGCATCCACATACTCATTTCAGAATTTACTTGGAGTCTTTTCATTTTGAAAATTCTACTACTGATGGTGGGTGTTTTCAGTGCATATGTTTCATAGTAATGACCCATATTTGTTGGTCTTTTCAGTCCAAATACCCAGGTCGACTGCCCCTTTATATTGTATATCATTATTTTAGTGATGACCTTTAACACTTAACTCTCTTTGTAGTTATTGCCTTAACCTATAGATTTAGAATGTCTTTCCTCAGAATAGTGCATTTATCTTTTCTTTTTTCACTTTTGTTAGTGGGAAGTTGAAAACAAAAAACAAAGAAGATACATAACACATCCTCATGTACCCATTACCCAGCTTCAAAAGTTATCGGCATTTTGCCCAGAGTACGTTATAGCAAATGATGCCTCTTACTCATCGTCCTTCAGTGTTTATTTTAAACTGATAAAACTTTTTGATTTCAATATTTATTTGGCTGAGCCAGGTCTTCCTGTGGCCCACAGGATCTTCAGTTGCAGCATGCAAACTCTTTTAATTGCAGCACATGGGATCTAGTTCCATGACCAGGGATCAAAGCCAGTCCCCCTGAATTGGGAGCATGGAATCTTAGCTACTGGCCCACCATAGAAGTCCCTAAAGCTTTTTTAAAAAGTCTCCATGCATTATCCCACTTCCAAAATTAATACCCTTTCTTTACTATCTGGTACGCAGCCCTTGGGGGATTTGCTGGTGGCTCAGATGGTAAGAGTCAGGTCTGCCTGCAATGCAGGAGACTGGGATTCAATCCCTGGGTTGGGAAGATTCCTCTGGAGAAGGAAATGACAACCCACTCCAGTATTCTTGCCTGGAAAACCCCATGGGTGGAGGAGCCTGGCAGGCTATAGTCCATGGGGTCACAGAGGGACATGCCTGAGCGACTTCACTTTTACCCAGTCCTTGTTCAGATTTCTCCAGTTCCACATTTGACTTGTTTGAATCGGGAATCAAAATTTACACATTGCATTTCATTGTCACATCTCTTTTGTCTCTTATTCTACAACAGTTTCTCTCTCCACTGTTTTCTGTCTTTCTATCTGCATTTATTAGCTGAAATCCTTCTAAATAAAGAATTCTTTCATCAAATATTTGGTTTCTCTGAAATATAGTTTATATAAGAAAGGCAGGAAAAAGATATAATTCTTTCACTTTATTGATTTTCGGAGAAACAGTTTGATGACCCTAGCAGCCTTCCGTGATGTTAGTGTTAATCACTCAGCCGTGTCCGGCTCTTTGTGACTACATGGTCTGTAGCCTGCCAAGCTCCTCTGTGCATAGAATTCTCCAGGCATGGGATTCTTCCCTGATGACTGTTAGATTTTTATGTCTCAGGCTTCAATCTGTTGCAGACAGTATACATTTTGACACTTAGTTGTTGTTGTTGAATCACTGAATTGTGTCCAACTCTTTTGTGACCCCATGGACTGTTGTAGCCTGCCAGCCTCCTTTGTCCATGAGATTTCCCAGGCAAGAATACTGAAGCGGGTTGCCTCTCTCCGGGGCATCTTCCCGACCTAGGGATTGAACCCGTGTATCCTACATTGGCAGGCAGATTCTTTGTCACTGAGCCACCTGGGAAGCCCACTCAGTGTACTGATCCAAATGTTAATCTCATCCAGAAGCACACTCACAGATACACCCAGAATACCATTTGACCAAATGTCTGGGCACCCTGTGGCCCAGTCCAGTCGACACATAAAATTAACTATCCGGAGTCCAAAATACTAGAGGTTTCATGTCCTCATTCTCTGAAGGGTTCCCTTCTCCCACCCTATTAAGAGTTGTCGCACTCAGTCACCAAGTAGAAATGCCTTTTTATTTTCAATCTTCTATTTATAGCAAGCCTAATTTTATTGAGTTTCAATAACTATTGCTTTCATGGTAGGGAACTGGCTATATTCTAGGACCTTCGGGTGGGTGGTTTGGACTCTTTATGAAATAAGCAAATGGGGCCTCTTTGAAGAATGGATTTTCTGTTTGGTGGGTCCAAACATTGCAGCCATTAGTAATCTTAAATGTTGCCCTTATTTTTCCTGCACCTTTGCAATAGACAGGCTGTCTTTTTTATATTAAATTTTCTTCTTCATCAGTATGTTGAGCAGAACAGACTTAATGATAGCTTAGCTCTCAATTAAGATAGTTAACTAGGTATAGATTGGAATGTGAACTATTTACGGAATTTCTTAGTTGATTTATCATATGTGTGCTCAGTCATGTCCAACTCTGTGACCCCATGGACTGTAGCCCACCAGGCTTCTCTGTCCATGGAATTCCCCAGGCAGGAATACTGGAGTGGGTTGCCATTTTCTGCTCCAGGGGATCTTCCCGACACAGGGATTGAACCTGTGTCACTTCTGTCTCCTGCATTGGCAGGTGGATTTTCTTAGAGAAGGCATAAAATAGTTCACTAGATAGGCCATTAGTTGGGATGTGGGAAGATTTTTCTCCTTGATTTAGGTTCAGTTATTTTAATTTGCTAAATAGCAATGTATTTATACGGTTTAAAATTTAAAGAAGTGAAAGTGTACAGCGCAGTCACTACCTCATTCCTGCCCCCAAATCACCTGGTTCCTCTTCCCATTTTTATTTCTTGTTTATCTGTCCAAAGATATTTTATGTGTATTCAGGCAGCTGTGGATACATATTTCTACCCACTTCTAAAAACAAATCACAGCACACATTGGTAATTTTACCTTTTTTTAGGTTTTCTTACTTCAGAAGTGTAGTCAGTCTGGTGCTGGGTTCTTTTGTTTCTCACACAAGGATCTAAATAAAAAGAGTATAAGATGGGACCTAATATTTATAAACCTTTATTTTTTATTAGGAATGGCCAAGGGATCATATGTCAGCTTCTACCCTGTCAGTTTCTTAGGAGACTAAGGGTCTCCTAAGAATTTAGGAAAATCGCCTTTGCTCAGCTGTGGTCAGAGTCCAGAGACTTACTGGCAGCCTATCAAGTCTTTGGGGGGAGTTTTGAACATTCTGCATTTTTGGGATCTGATGTGATATAACAGACATGACTTTGACTCTCATGTAAGCCCCAGACAGTCAAGCTGTGGGCGCTCCCCTCTGCTGGAGTGGGCTGTTCTGGGCAGCTGGTCAGGCAGCTGTTGGGTGGGCCTGGGAAGCAAGGGGGTGTTGGGGGTGGGGGAAGGGGTATGTGGTAAGGGCCGAGGGCCAGCACAAGTCTTCCCTCCATGACGCAGTGGTGAGGTCAGTATGAAAAGGAGCCCGGAGGTCATCTCATCCCACCACCCTTTTCCCACCAGCAGAGTCCCTTCTGTGGGCTCCTGCAAGTGGCCACTGAAGCTGCTCACAATCTCCAGCGAGGGGCGGGCCTCTTGAGGCAGCCCACGGCACCTACAGTTCTGTTGACTTTTTTTTTTTTTAATTTTTAAAAATTTATTTACCTATTTGGCTGCATTAGGTCTTAGCTGCAGCTTACGGGATCTTCGTTACATCACATGGGTCTTTCATTCTCTCTAGCCGTGGCACGAGGGTTTCGTTGGTCCGTGGCATGTGGGATCTTAGTTCCTCAACCAGGGATTGAGCCTGAGTCCCCTGATTGCAAGGCAGATTCTTCACCATTAGACCACTAGGGAAGTCCCCTGTTGACTCTTTAGCACCTCAACTTCTGGAGTTGTACCCACTGATCTTCCATCTACTTCCAACAAGTTGCACCTCTGTATGCCATAGCTTTTAGATAGCCATCGGTCCCCTCAGTGAGTCTTTTCTCTAGGCAAAGTACTCCCAGTTATATAAATTGTTTTTTGTATGACATAGTATGTAATTCCTTTACCATCCTCTTCAGTCTTTGCCCTTCCAGTCTGTGTCTTAGAGTGTGGGGTCAGCACCGACCATGTAACACGCCCAGGATGTTCTGACTGATGCACTGTAGCCTAGGCTTTTTGTTGCCCATATTTTAGAGACTGAGCTGCTCTCTCTTCTGTTGATATAACCTAGGGTCACTATTATTAAATAGTTCTTCTGGCAGCCACTTCCTATTTTTGCCTGCCAGAGGGCTTACTGTCAGCTAACCACCCAGTTGTTACCGCCATTAATGTCACATGGACCACTGCACAGAGCGTCTTCCCCATCCTGTACGTGATTGTGTGCTCACTTCCTCCTGGGAACCGCCTCTGGAGACCCGGTTGCCCCAGCTCTTCCATCAGCCAGTGTGGCAGTGACCAAGTCTGTGCAGGCTTCAGCCACCTTTGCTCAGATACAATGTGGCGGTCCCATTCTTTGACCCATCTCTTGCTTCCTGGGATTTCTCTGCTGCTGTAGTGTAGGATGCTGCAAAGATTTCTGACACCAATTGCCTGGGGTTGGGCCATACTTCACAGGTTAAGGGCAGAAGATGCCCTCACTGCAGACACCAGCTGCGAATTCAGGGCTCCCCAGACCACCCTCACTTTTTTTCAGCTGTTCACAAATTTGGCAGTTCCCAGTGTTCCCTCAGGTTCTTTTTTTGTTTGTTTGTTAATTGGCTGCTCCAGGTCTTAGTTTGGGCAGACCAGGATTGAACCCAGGCCCCCTGTGACATTGGAAGCCCGGAGTCCTAACTCCCAGGGAAGTCCCCCTTCAGATTCGGTCTTCATTAAAACAACTCCCAGGACTCAGATCGCTACAGCTTCCACTCCAGTTTTATTGTTCAGCAGCAGGATACAGATGAGCCAGCCAGAGGAGGAGATGTATGTGGGAGGCACACACCCTACGCAGGGCTTGTGTCGACCTCTTCCCACGGGGTCAGGGTGTGTTACCCTGTGGCCCAGAGAGGCGCTACATGCACAGAGCGTTGCCAGCCAGGGAAGGCTGTCTGAACTTGGACGTTCATAGATTTTTATGGTCTTTATCATGTAGGCATGATGTAGAAATGAAGCAACTAAACAGGAGCCTAACCTGTTCTCTCTTTATTCTTTTTTCTTTTAAAAATTTTTATTGGCGTGTAGTTGCTTTACAACCTTATATTAGTTTCTGCTTACAGCAAAATGCATCCATAAGTATACATACACTATATACCCTCCCTTTTGGACTTCCCACTCAGGTGACCACAGTGCATTAAGTAGTTTTCTGTGCTATAGAGTAGGTTCTCATTAGTTATCTGTTTTATACATAGTATCAGTAGTGTATATGTGTCAACCCCGATCTCCCAGTTCCTCCCCCTTCTTCCCCCTTGGTATCCATACTTTTTTTTTTTTAATCTGTGTGTCTGTTTCTGCCATGCAAATAGGATCATCCATACCATTTTTCTGCCAAAGCCTTTGACTGTGTTGATCACAATAAATTGTGGAAAAGTCTTAAAGAGATGGGAATACCACACCATCTGACCTGTCTCTTGAGAAACCTGTATGCAGGTCAGGAAGCAACAGTTAAAACTAGACATGGAACAATAGACTGGTTCCAAATAGGAAAAGGAGTACATCAAGGCTGTATACTGTCACCCTGCTTATTTAACTTATATGCAGAGTACATAATGAGAAATGCTGGGCTGGAAGAAGCAGAAGCTAGAAATAAGATTGCGGGGAGAAATATTAATAAACTCAGATATGCAGACACCACCACTCTTATGGTAGAGAGTGAAGAGGAACTAAAAGGCCTCTTGATGAAAGGGAAAGAGGAGAGTGAAAAAGTTGGCTTAAAGCTCAACATTCAGAAAACTAAGATCATGACATCTGGTCCCATCACTTCATGGGAAATAGATGGGGAGATAGTGGAAACAGTGTCAGACTTTTTTGGGGGGGGGCTCCAAAATCACTGCAGATGGTGACTGCAGCCATGAAATTAAAAGACACTTACTCCTTGGAAGGAAAGTTATGACCAACCTAGATAGCATATTAAAAAGCAGAGACATTACTTTGCCAACAAATATCTGTCTAGTCAAGGCTATGGTTTTTCCAGTAGTCATGTATGGATGTGAGAGTTGGATGGTGAAGAAAGCTGAGTGCCAAAGAATTGATGCTTTTGAACTGTGGTGTTGGAGAAGACTCTTGAGAGTCCCTTGGACTGCAAGGAGATCCAACCAGTCCGTCCTAAAGGAGATCAGTCCTGGGTGTTCATTGGAAGGGCTGATGTTGAAGCTGAAACTCCAGTACTTTGGCCACCTCATACGAAGAGTTGACTCATTGGAAAAGACCCTGATGCTGGGAAGGATTGGGGGCGGGAGAAGAAGAGGACGACAAGAGGATGAGATGGCTGGATGGCATCACCGACTCGATGGACATGGGTTTGGGTGGACTCGGGGAGTTGGTGATGGACAGGGAGGCCTGGTGTGCTGCGGTTCATGGGGTCGCAAAGAGTCAAACACAACTGAGTGACTGAACTGACTGACTGATACCATTTTCTAGATTCCACATCTATGCCTTAATGCACAGTATTTGTTTTTCTTTTTCTCACTTACTTGATTCTATATGACACTCTCTAGGTCCATCCATGTTTCTACAAATGGGCCAGTTTTATTCCTTTTTATGGCTGAGTAATATTCCACTGGATGTATACATTGCATCTTCTTTATCCTTTCTTCAGTTAATGAGCATTTAGGTTGTTCCCATGTCCTGGCTGTTGTAAATAGTGCTGCAGTGAACATTGGGGTACATATGTCTTTTTGAATTATGGTTTTCCCTGGGTTTATGCCCAGTGGTGGGATTGCTGGGTCATATCATAGTTCTGTTTTTAGTTTTCTTTTTTTTTTTTTTCTGTTTTTAGTTTTTTAAGGCATATTCATGCTGTTTTCCGTCTACTCTTGTTATTGTTGATCTGTTGTGGGGCCATGGTGCCTCTGAAAAAGGCTGGTTGGGTGTCCAGCAGGCTTCCCAATTTTGGAGATTCTATATGCGCTTCCGTATTGATTGCTGTCAGTGAAACCACACACGTAAGTAGGCAGAGGCTGTCAGGACGTGTGAATAGCTACCCTCCCCAGGTTCAGATTATTAACATGCTGCTGCTTTCCATTCAGGTCTGATTTTCGTGGTCGACAGTAATGACAGAGAGCGGGTCAATGAAGCCCGAGAAGAATTAACCAGAATGTTAGCCGAAGACGAGCTCAGAGATGCGGTCTTATTGGTGTTTGTAAATAAACAGGTACGTCACTAGCTGTCTGAATCCTGGGACTGAAAAGTATTACCAGCTGCACGCTTTAAAAATAGAGGTATTTAATTAGCTGCCTGCGTCCCTCTCGCCAGTCCCTCCCATAATCTTTCTCTCCACCTAATTTTTAGCTTGGGTCTTTTATTCATTCACTCGCTCAGCACACATCCACTGAGCATTCACTAAGATCCAGGCATTGTTTGGGGTATTGGTGATGCAGCAGTGAACCAGACAGACAGAAATCCCTGAGTTCATGGAGTTTGCGTTCTAGTGGGTAGAGCATCAGTCAGTAACAGATACGTCCTATGTCTGGGGGGAGTCATGGGAGAAGGGGCAGGTGTGGAGAAGGATCAGAGGGCCTCTCTGATAAGAGGATGTCTGATCAGATGACATCGAGCTGCCGTGTAGCACAGAGAGCTCGGCTCAGCTCAGCACTCCCTCTGCAGGGAGCTCTCTGCTCAGCGCCCTGTGATGGCCTCGGACAGTGGGGTGGGAGGGAGGGCATGTATGTATGCATATAGCTGATTCACATTGTTGTACAACAGAAGCTAACACCACATTGTAAAGCAATTACACTCCATTTAAAAAATAAATAAGCTATAAGAATATGTTGTACAACACAAGGAATACAGCCTAAATTTTATAATAAGTATAAATGGAGTATAACTTTTAAAATTGTGAATCATTGTATACCTGTAAGCTATATAATATTGTACATCAGCTATATTTTAATTAAAAAAAAGATGACCCCTGAAGGCCCTCAGGAAAGGAGCCAGACTGTTCTAGGAAGAATAGGGCAGCCAGTGCAGCTGGGATGGAGTGGAGTGGGGTGGGGGTGCAGCAAAGGAGGAGATGAAATTGGATCATATGGGGCCAGTCCTTGAGGAAACTTGGCTTCCATGTAAATAACACAAAGCAGTGAAAGTGGGAGTAGGAGGAAGACGTGGAACCATCCAATCTCAGGATGAGAAGCTGAAGTAAGGGTGGAAAAGAAGGTGGAATCCTGTGGAAGTTAGTGGTCTGAGATACACAGTCACATTTTGATGCATTTCCCCCTACTTTCTCCTCCACGAATACATTCGTTATGTAATTGAGATCATACGATTTTGACATTGTTGCATCCTATTTCGTCATTTCAGATTTATCAGAGGCATGTTCTCTTGTCATCTAGCTCTTTGTAAGCACTGTTTTAAATGGTGGGAGCATCATCGTTCACTTATTATAGAACCAGGACACGCTCAGGGTATAGATTCGTAGACAAGTCACAATATTGAGTGAAACATTCTAGCCCCACTTTTCAGGATAAAAACATTGTTAAATTCCTTACATTGCTCTCCAGAGCTTATTCTGCATTCTGTTTTGCAACCTGCTTCTTAGAGTATCTTTGATGTCCTTCCAAATCATTGTCTAGATCTACTTTGTTCTTTTTTTTTTTTTTGGCCACGCTACATGGCATGTGGGATCTTATTTCCCCAACCAGGGATCAAAACCTGTAGCCCCTGCACTGGAAGCTCAGAGTCGTAACCACTGGACTGCCAGGAAATCCTCAGATCTACCTTGTTCTTTCATGCTAATGTATTCAGATTTGGTTTCAGCCTACTACATGCCAGACACAGTTCTAGGCACTAGGAATACCTCAGAGAACAAGATAGACAGAGATTCCTTCCATGGTAAAACTTGCATTCTAGTTACAGGGGGCAGATAATAAGCACACTAAGTCAGTTAATTTTGTAATGTAGTAAACTTGCTATGATTAAAAGTGATGAAGCAGGACAATTAGGAGGGGTCACGGGGTCACAGAGACCTTGCAGAGCGTCCTGAGAACCTGGGCTCTTACACTGAGAGAGACAGAGCTGTCGCAGGGTGTTAATAGAAGAAGGACTTGATCTGACTTCACTGACCGCCAGGTTGAGGATAGACGTTTTGAGGAGGAAGAGCAGAAGCGGGGAGACCAACTCAGAAGTAATTTCAGTAATCCAAGCGAGAAGCGGTCAGACTCTAAATATATTTTGCAGGTAGAGCCAATGGGCTTTCCCAGCGTGGAGCTGTGAGAGTGGAGAGAAAGAGAGGGAAGGAAAAATGAAGGGCTGTTTCACGGTTGGAGGCCTGAGCCTCTAGGCAGCCAGAGATAAGACTGTGGGTTAAGGGCAGGTGTTGGGGAAGAGCCTGGTACTCCATTACGTGGACAAAACATTGCTGAACTGACTTTTGAATATTCTCTTCCAAGGATCTTCCCAACGCTATGAACGCAGCAGAGATAACAGACAAGCTTGGCTTACATTCCCTCCGCCAGAGAAACTGGTATATTCAGGCTACTTGTGCCACCAGCGGGGATGGGCTTTACGAAGGCCTGGACTGGCTCTCCAACCAGCTCAAAAACCAGAAGTGACGGGAGGTGCCGCGCTCCCCGTGCGTCGTGGCAAAGTCAGCTGGCCTCTTGTGTGTGCGTGTGTGCGTGTGAGGAGCCGAGTGTGGGTGTGTGGCTGGGCGTGGGAGCAGCTTTCTTACATAGTGCCTTATACACGCTCGAAAGAAACCAGTCTTACATGATAAGAACAACCAGTGTTACATTTTCTACACTACCTTCCATTTCAATAGCTTTGATGAGCAGTTTTGCAGTCCATGGGAGCCGGACTAGTCTTTGCGATGGGAAAGTGGGGCGAGGGTGGGCTGTGGACTGCCTTCACTTGTGTGATCTTGGCCCAGGCCTCAGGTCTCTGGGGATCCTGTTAGACTCTAGCATCCTTTTGTTAAAAAAAAAAAAAAAAAGGAAGGCTCAAATTAAAAGGCCCTTGCTTACCACAGATGTAAAGTTCAGATCTGAACTTAAGTTATTTTCTAGCCCAGAGGTCCTGGTTTAATGTACTTTACTGAGAGAAATCAGTGATCTTCTTCTATGAGAAGAAAAAAAGAAAACCCATAACACTAGACCCCATAACACTAGAAAATCATCGGATCCTTCCTTCCTTTGACTCTTATTTGCCAAATGGAGGCCCTTTGGGGTGGGCACCCGGCGCGTGGCAAGGCCCTTCACCGGGGCCGCCCCGCCACGCACCAGGCTGGGTTAAGGAGTGGTGACGACTTCGTGTCCCTCATCACCTCTCGGAGGCTGCTGCTCCCACTCCTCTGCTCTGCGCCGAATGTTCTCCACCTGAAGCAGGAGCTCGGCTCCCCGGGTGGAAGCAGAACCATGTACAGTGTGTTAGTCCAACTTGCGGTTTGGGTTAGCTGCTCAACCACACACCCAGGAGTTCTGAGAGTTTGAGAGAGAATCAAGGGGTTAAATTTGGGCAACGAGACGCCCAGCAGTCAAGTTGGTTGGTGCTAAATTTTGCCATGAAGGATGTCTCGTCCAGGCCAGTCTCCGTGGCACTGAGACTCCCTCTTCTGGTTGGCAGTCATGACTTATCGTGGAAATGTGCTCTATGTTGTCCTCAAAATAGAGGTAACAACGGCCTGGAAACGAGCTGGGTTCGCTCCGTAGTCTAGAGCTGTTTTTGGTCCAGACAGCTGTTGGCCAAATTTGTACCTAAGCTCTTCCACTACTACCTTTTAAACTTGCTTTTTCAAAAAAAAAAAAAACACAAAAAAACTTCGTTTTAGATTACAGAGGAGGAGAGTGTAAAATGAATTTTAACAAAAGTAAACCTTGTTGATAATCATGAAGTTGCTATGACTGGGAAGAAATTTCATGCTGTGATCAATGTGGAGTGTAACATTTTTCCTTAAGACATTGACTTAAAGAATGTTCCTTGCAGTACTGGCAACAAAGTCCAGATTTGATTTTTAAACCATGCAGTTAAGTCCTGAGAAATATTTAGATTGTGCGCCTCAAATTGGCAGGGAGTGTGTCTTACACTTTTGTATTTATGCTTTCTGTGTGTGCCCGGTACTGTGCTGGGCCTCATCAAACACTTGTTGATTGGTTGGACAATAAAGACTTGCTTTGGAAAGAGGAGAGGACAGCCATGTGCTTCCGGGTGTCTTGAGCGTATTTAAAATCCCTTCCCCTCTCCATCGCAGACTTGCTATTAAAAACTCCCAGGGCACTTGTATAAAAGGCACAAACATCCCGGGGTGCTGTTTGGGGCCTCCTGCCTTCAGTGGAGCTCCTCATTCATATCTTCGATGATACTTGCAACTACTGTGGTCTTTCTCTGAATTTGGAGCTGATGATTTATGGTTAGGGGATCAGTGGGGGCACTTGAGTGTAGTGCCTTTGAGCAAAGGCTTGGGTCCCTGAAAGCCATATTCACATCCCACCTGTGTCCTCACTAGTGCCTGGCTTCAGGCCTGTCATTCTTTGCCTCCGTATCCCTGAACCTCAGTTTGCTTAACTGTTAAATGGGCATAATAATGCCTACCTCATAGGGTTGCGAGGAGAAATGTCTCAGACCTTTGTTTTCCTTGTCTGGTGTTTCCCTGAGGATACTTTGATGTCTCAAGTGTGAACAGCAGTGCTGGCCACAAATTGATCAGCATTTTTTTTTTTTTGGTTGTGCCATGTGGCTTGTGGGATTTTAGTTTCCCAACCAGGAGTTGAACCCAGGCCCATGACAGAACACAGAGTCCTAACCACCAGACAGCCAGGAAATTCCCTGATCAGCATTATTTATAGGAGCAGTGAAGTGGGATGGAATATATCTAATCTCTCCCACTATTCACCTTCTAATCCCATTGAATCCCCTGTCCTTTTCTAACTTGGGAAGTGCTAAGAAGACCAGTTGGGATACTTGTTTAAAAAAGCATGTTGCTGTGTCCCACACTTACTTTTTTTTTTTTTTTAATTTTATGATTCTTAGCATATTCAGAGTTGTGCGACCACCACTACTAATTTTAGACTGTTCATCACCCCTCAAAGAAAACCTGGATCTATTCCCTAATCCTCCCTTTCCTATGGCCCCTGGCCACCGTTTATCTACTTCCTGTTTCTATGGATTCACCTATTTCTGGGCAGGTGTGGGGCCTAAGTAGTTGCTTCCTGAAGCCCTGGGGTGCTATTGAACACAGCATCAATCCTGCGGCATCTGCCTGTAGACAGGTGGGGCCCCAGGGAAGAGACTGCCTCACAGGTGACCCTGAAATTTATTACCTTGAGAGGGAAAGGGGTGCTTCTAACAATTATGCAGGGGCACAAGGCATGTCGGGGATGTATGGTTACCCTCTTAGAATGGAGAGAGGTTTCAATCTGGAATCAAAGTGGCTGCCCCCTCGCCTGGCCCCCAATTTCCCCACCTGTAAGGAAGTTCCTAGGCTTACCTGGGGGACAGCTCTGTGTGAGTACCAAGAATACAGGGGTAATCGGGGAATCTATGAGTTAATTCTATATATGTGATTTGATCTATTTAAAACAATACCTTAACAGCTGAGAATACTCACATGTGAGTTGCTCGAGACAGTTGGCTTTTTACTCCTGTGGAGGTCGGTTTCAAGTGACATGAAGCATAATAACTTGAGAAGACCTGAGTTCTTTATCCACAGGTATCTGGAGGCTGTCAAACAGTACACGGAAAATCTGACGTGCTCTGGAGACCCTTTTTTCGTGTGAAATTTTTGATAGTCTTCACTCTTTTTGGCAGCAGCTTTATTGAGATACATTTCCATGAATTCTCAGATTTTCTTCAGTCATATCCTCCCAGATTGTTGCAATCAATTTTATTCATTTATTTGGCTGTGTCAGGTCTTAGTCACAGCACTTGGATCTTTGTTGCCAAGATGTAGGGTCTTCTGTTGTGGGCCACAGGCTCACGGACTCAGTAGTTGCAATGTAAGGGCTTAGTTATTCCACGGCATGTGGGATCTTAGTTCCCCAACCAGGGATGGAACCCTCGCCCCCTGAATTTCCAGGCAGACTGTTAACCACTGGACCACTGGGGAAGTCCTATTTTATTTATTTGGCCATACCACACAGCACGTGGGGCCCCAGTTCCCTGACCAGGGATGGGACCCATGCCCCATACACTGGAAGCACAGTCTTAACCACTGGACCATCACGGAAGTCCTGCAATCAACTTTAGAACATTTTCATCACTCTGGAAAGAAACCCTGCAGCCTGTAGCAGTCACTCCCCATCTTTTCATACCTCTCAACCCTAGGCCATTACTAACCACTGGTCTCTGTTCTATTTAGATTTAGAAGAACACTTTAAACTTTGCTTTTTCACCACCAGCTGGTCTTTGAGGTGTACCACACTAAGAACTTTTCTCCTATTTTGATTTTCATTGTTTTGATACACAGCATAGGAGGGTTTCCCTGGTAGCTCAGACGGGAAAAGAATCTGCCTGCGATGCAAAGAGACCCAGATTCGATCCCTGGGTCAGGAAGATCCCTTGGAGAAGGGAATGGCTCCCCGCCCCAGTATTCTTGCTTGGAGAATTCCACAGACAGAGGAGCCTGGTGGACTACGGTCCATGTGGTCACAGAGACGCCACTGAGCATGCATGCATGCAGCTTGCTACTGCACCCGTTGCCACTAGGTGGTGGCGCTGCTCCACCTGACTGACCCACAGCCCTGGATGGAGTGGGCCATGGGGTTTCCCAAGCATGGGAAAATTCGTGTTCTTGCCTGGACACCAAGAATGACCCAGAAAACTACAGCTAGGAATATGCCTGGAAGAGAAAGACGAAATGGGCACCCAGAGTACCCAGGACTTGTGAGTGCCAATAAAATAATAAAGGTGGCAGCAACAAGTTTGACTGTGAAGAATTAATCTCTATTTACTGAGCATAGTGGGTACTGTCCTAGACATGCACACATCATCTCTACTTGTCACACCCAGCAAGTCATGTGTATTGTATCTGCTTTACAAAGCAGGAAACCAAGGTCCAAGGATACAAAGTGACTTGATGGTGGCCGCATGGTCACGATTCAAATGCAGGTCTGAGGCTCCAGGGTCCTGTCCTTCCAGTCCACACTACTGCCATAGGCTCTGGCCTCCAGAGGTCAGTAGAGGGGGAGGGAAGGCAGCAAAAGTGCCCAGTGGAGACATCTGGGGAGAGACACAGAGCAGCACTCGAAGAACTGTGTCAGCTGACACGCCCTGGGAAGGAGGAGTGGATGGAGGGAAGAGCCAGGGCACTGAGATGCACTGAGGCCAGTGCAGGCCTGGACTGACCCTGGATGCTGATAATGAATGTTCCTGGGAAGTAAAAGATAATCACAGTGTTCTAAAACTGGATTGTGGCAATGGTTGCATAACTATAAATTTACTAAGAACCAGCAAGTTGTTCACTTACAATGGGTGAATTGTATGATGTGTGAATATTCAGTAAAGCTATGAAGTTTATAATCATAAAACCAATAGCGACGAGGGTGCGGACTCAGTGGGTCTCAGCCGTGCTCTAGGCACTCTGAGAAGAGAGGGTGAGTAGTGTCTCAGAGTAGAAAGG